AAGTTGCGGACAAAGGGCTTTGGCATCTCTAACGAAAATCCCAGCCTTAACTCCATAGTTTCGGGCAGGGTAGTTTGCTGATGAAATTTCAGCTGTTCCTTTTGGGTTGTCAGAATGGCATACTGCTACAGGCTTATCATGTAACTCTGGATGATTCCGGATGACTACAGAAACAAAAAAGCAGTCCTGTGCAGCATATAAAGTCAATGACCATCATGAAAACAAATGGGAAGACAAAAAAAAGTATCTAAAAGACATCCAAGTCCAACAATTTTTACAGTTCTGAATCTCATACCACTACTAAATCAACAGTGCTTGTATGCTAAAATTGAAAATGGTGACAAGGTGGAACTATAGGACAATTCATGCCAGCCTTAAGAGATCACATATTCTCAATGCAATTATCAGGTCTTGTGTTCCAAATATACCCTAGCCCTTAAACAATTAGGAGAACTTATTTTTACTAGCATACTGAACTGCTTAGAACAAGGAAGATAGGCATTTAGCTGTCAGTTTCCCGTTTCCAATTTCCACAAGCCTGGCACATGAGAACCTTAACTGATTCACAAGGAAAGAAGACACAAGCAGGAGTATGTTCAAAAACAATACCATGTCAACATGGATAATAGTAGACTTGTTAGAATTATCAGAGGTGTTGAGATCTGATCTTCTGCACTTAAATTCACTTGATGAGCTAGGAAAACGCTTTCGGTACCTACTTCTCCAGGTTCCTATGAAGTGCAGCCTTGAACTCTGCAAGAACCAAAGCTCGGTCAGCATATCACCAAAGGCGGCACCGTGGGAGTACCCAAAACTATCAACAAATTGAGGAATGGAAAATTCACAAGATGTCAAGAGAGTGATCACATGACAAAAATGACTCGTCAAGAAAATTATGCATTCAGTGTCCTTAGGTAGAAGCACTTGTGGATTCTACATGCATATGAATCTACTATAATAAATTTACTTTCCTTATAAACAGAATTAAATGCACAAGGCCATAAACACATAGGATGGATACTGTGGAGAGGAACAGCCTAAGAATAATAAAGTTATACAGTGATGGATGCCATGTCAGTACTCATTAGCAACAAAAATCTAAAAGGCAGACTTGCAACAAAAATTCTGATACAGCAGGCTTGTGAGAACTGAGAAAACGATTGCATCATTGGTCAGTAACACCCAAATAGCTACTAGTCATTGTCAGTTTGGTGGCTGAAAATTTTGAGTATTTTAACTCTGATCTTTCAGGGAAAGGCTCAACTACTTAGAAAGTTAAAGAAAGTATCAACCAAATGCCTCAACAATAAATATTTCTGCTCAGCATACACATAGGCCTGTATTACCATGACCTTTTGGCATAGCCTGACAAAACAAACCTTTTTGTTGGAAGAAAGAAAATCATGTTAAGCTTAATGAGAGAAACATATAGATCTGCAATTACCAAACATTCAAATAAGGCATCAAGATAATAAACACACAGAAATACCAGAATAAGTATTTACAATTTTAAGAGGACCAGCTCAGGTTATAGGTAATCATTCATGCACGTAGTTTAAAAGAATAGAAATTAAAGGAGATAAAAACAGTAGAGAGGAAGCGCAGGGTGCAGCAATCTCCTTATTCAATAGTGCACAGTCAGTATTCTAATCAAGTACCTTAAAGTAATTCTCCACAAAATTGGGATCCCCAAGAGTTGAATGACGTCGATTTGTAGGCCCACTAGGTTCTGAACTCAGTGATCCATCTGAACGTTGATTGTGTAAGCAATAGCCACTAACTAAAGCAGAAAATGGATCTGTACCAGACTGATGCTTGTTGTTTGCACTGTTTCCATATTCTGCATCACTACTACCAAATTCTGCCATCTTTACGTCTGCAGATTTTCCACTACTGCCATTTAGCTCCTCGAGTTGATGATTAGGATCATCAAGTAGTTCGCCCGCTTGCTTGGCAAATCTCGCGGGTTCATCCACTTCAGAAATATAGACATCCTTTGTGGTGCCACCCTTCAAAATTGGATCCAGGTTCACTTGACAAACTTCATCGGTCAAAACATTCTCCGGGACTGGGTTACTTTTCAAGGTGAAGAAGGCTGATAATTTTGGTTGGTTATTAGCAAGCTGGTTGAGCTGGTAAGGAAACCCTAGCAACAGCACAATAAATTCCATAGAGTCAAGATGTATGAATTTAACATACTTTTAACTCCTAAAACATCAGAGAAAGTGAGAGGGCAGAATCCATTCAGGCCCACTCAGGGCAATGGCTCATCAAATTTGAAACTTTATTAGTTATACCCTTTTGCCAAAAGAAATTTACATTTCAATCATGATCAAGGCCTCTCACGGATTATTCATTAGATTTTGATCAAGATATGTCTGTTATTGACATGCTGAGTATTAACAAGTTAATGTCAAAACAACTAGGTGGACAATATTTCTGCAAAATAAAAAGAGAAGGCACCCCATTACCAAGTACCAGTCAAACTCCTCTTTCGAAAGAAGGACAATATATTCACCTATTTCAATTCTTTTAATAAATTTTAAAAAGAAAATTCCCCGACTGCCCCCACCCCTGCAAATTTTTCTAACAAAAGCAACGCTGCTTTTTTAAGCATTGATAGAGAAAACTAGGAGAACGCAACCTCGACATGGTTACCACTTACACTTAAAAATCCTCTAATCCTTTATCTAATACATTTCTCCTTGGAAAATTAGATGTGGTAAGTTCCCTTATTGCTTATTTCTACTCTCCATCGAAGAACTATGCCATCTATAATAACAAGTCAAGATCAACAAAACAGGAAACTTACAACTCAAAAGTTTGTTAGCAACAATGGAATCCAAAATCCATGCAGGTTTGACAACTGGGAGCCCACCACTAAATGACCTGCATTGGATTACCAGCAATGAAAAGAAAAATTAATTCCAATTCCATGTTTATTAGTTTTAGAAAATAAACCAATAACAGTGTGAACCTCAGGTTCTTGATTTTACTATCGGGAAGACTGCTACAGATTATATGCGTAACTTGATGCCTAGAAAAGTAATTCGCAAATCGCCCACCATACTTCAGCATGTAAGCTCGCAGTTCCTGAAGCAGATGTAAATATCAAACACAAATTCAAACAGTAAGGAATCGCAGATTAAAACGAAATGTATGAAAAATTAACCTGGTTCGAAGGAATTGTGAAACCATCAATAAAAATAGAGACTCCTTGAAAAATCAGCTTCCCGGAACTCGAACCAGAATGGGAAGAAGTGGAAGCCTCTGCTTCAAATTGGTGTTGAAGCTTCCTATTCTTCTCTACCATATAACTGCACCCGATTTTATTTTATTGTATTGTCAAACATTACAATTATAACACAAATACACGATCAACAAAACATTATTCATAGATCAAGTTCCATTAAATCTGAATTATGTTTTTAATAAATTATTAAGTAGCACATTAAAATAACGTAAAGCAGCATGTTCATTTCTGGTGAAATTCCAAGTTCTACAGAAAAATTAAATTATCAGAGAAAACTTGAAAATTATTATAAAAAAATGATATATATATATATATATATAGAGAGAGAGAGAGAGGGGACCTGCCGAAATTGGAGAAAGGAGAGTTGCGAAAGGATGGGCGGGAGGAGGAGAGAGAGTTGGCACCCCAACCCCTGCCGAGGGTTTTTTGCTTGCTATTTTTATTATTTGAAGAATTCGAATTATTCAAGCCTCTCTTTGATTTTCGACTTGAATTGGCAGAGGAGGATCGCGAAGAATCAAAACTCATTTTCTTTCCCTTTTTACTTTTTTTTCTTTAGGTGTGATAGAGATATAGAGAGAATCCAAATGGAGTGCGGAAGAAGCTCTTTGACTCTCTGTTGTTCGTGTGTTCTAAATTTTAAATGAAACGGCAAAAGTGAAGTCCTGATTTTATATGCAGGATATACGGGCCTTTTGGCCCATGGGCTGGGGGTTTTTTTAATAATCTGGGTGCTGAAATCGGGCCGGGCCAGGGCTGTGAGGGGAGTGGTGTTTTTCCCTCTTTTTTTTTTTATTAACTGGGATTGATTTTTTAAAGCCGCTATATTTGCACTCGTATTATATGATTTTCTTCTTAAGAAACCACCGCCATCAGAGTTTTGAAAAGTTTAATGTTGATTAGTTTAGGCTCCGGACGTTGAGAACTTGAAACGCCTCCACCGGTCTGCAAATTGATACTTGATCTTTAATTTTAATCATTTGATATTTTTTATTCTAATGTTGACCGGTGAATTCTGAAAATCAAACAGCTCAAAAATATGAATCCGGGTTGGTAAAGCAAAGAGTGTATATTCAGTATTTCACCTGATTGAGAAACTGTTCAGAAGAGCAGTGACTTTAGTTTTTTGATGTGTTAAAAAAAATTAAAAAACATAAAAAAATTAATTTAAAATAAAAAAATTTAAAGCTTTTAAAAACATGCGAACTGCTTTGAGAAACATGCTTTTAGTGTTTATTTAATATCATATAGTAATTTCTTTTCAAATTATTTTTTAAGATAATATTATTTAATGTTTAAAATTTATTTTTAATATTAAAATAATCTTTTTAAAAAAAAACTTATTGAAAGTAGCGCTGTGTGAACTTCGAATTGCTTCGTTTCGAACGCGCAATCTTATGGCATAATGTTGGGTACACTAATAGAAACAAATGTAAACACTCATATATATATATATATATATATATTACACTGTTGAAAAAATAAAAAAAATTCCCTCAAAAATAAAAAAATAATGCTCGCATATTCAATTGCATTATTAATAACAACAGGGTCTTTGCATTGTTCCCAGCTGTACAGACAAGAATTATTTTATTTTTTCTCCAGATATTTTTAAACTACGCAAGTTTGTCAAATATTCTTTTTAACACGTATTAGTTTCAAAAAAACTAGTTTGTCAAATATTCTTTTTAACACGTATTAGTTTCAGAAAAACTTCGACCTGAGGGTTGAAAAGTAAATACACAGGTAAAAGAGACAGTTTGACTAGCAACCAACCCTTCTTACCAAAAATGGCATTGATATCAGTAATGCCGGGAACATTTACAGGTGGGATCCGTGTTAGAAAGCTAACTATGCCAAAGAGGCTGCCACCCCAAAACAAAGAGAGCCCTTCTCCACCTTCCGGTAACTTCCCAAAAGTCTCGCCTAGTTTACATCAAAAATAGGCAGAGAACCCCTTTGCACCCGACGCTTGGTTCTTCTCCACCATGCACGATTCCTTTGGTATTTTTACTACCATGTCCGTTTACCCTTTTTGACCCTTTTCCACCTTGAGCTACCTGGCTCCCAAAAATATAGGCAGAGAATTAACTATTAGAATAGATTCACTGTTTACTTGATGAGAATGATGGGTGGTTTTTTTCAGTAGTAGCAGGTGACCAGAAATCAGCACCGTTGCTGCTTGCCAGGTGAACGGTGCAGTCCACTGGGACAAGACACAGCCCCCTGCTGCTCAGATTCTTTATTGGCTCCTTTACTCCAATCTCTCCGCCTTCCTAGCATGGTTTTACCGTAGTAAAAAAAATAATAATAATAACAGAAGGCCATGTCAATATCAATACTAATAGCAGTCTGACTCTCTACCACAAAGGCAAATTTGTTTCCCCGTGGTCAAAATTTTCACTTGATCCGTGTGGTCTGGTCAAGAGTAAGTGGGACCTACTCGAGGTGGATCCAGATGCTTGTGGATTCATATAGACGTTTTTAAGAGAGGTAAAAAAAGGACAAAAAATGATTGTACTTCGGTACTTACAGGTAGATTTTGCAGGTAGGGAGAGCACAGGACCTTCACCTGATCTTGCAGAAACCTGATATATCCCATCGCTTCATGGAGCACTGAAGCTGTGTCTGTCTGCTAAATTTCAATTCCCAATGACATCTTTACTTAGCATGAAGCCAAAGCCAATTTTCATCATAAACAAATTCTTTGAACTATGCAGAAAACAATCTGACCAAATTAAATATAGAAAAATAACTTAATTGTGCAGTTCGGACCTTGCCAAAGGGGGATACAAGCTGTTGCAATGAAGTGATTCTGTCTCCCACCTTCTCTCTCTTCACCTGTCAGTAGAAGGAAATTAAGCTGATCAGTGCACTTTCGTCGAAATTAAAGAATTATATGCAGCGTGCGTGCAAGTATATCCTAGAAATTAAGAAAAAACTATAAACCGTAACCTTAGCATTTCCGGTTGACCTGGGATTCTCAGTTCTCGTCTTTTTGCTGGTTCTCTGGCTAGGCAAATTAGTTTTGGCTCTGGTGTTAGTACTATTCGCTGTTACTTCTTGGCTGGACCCATTTCTTTTTCTCTGCAAAACTAGCAAGTATAAAGAGAAGACCAGAATCCAAAAGCAAAATAAACAAATTTCAACTAGATACTAACATTTGATTTGGAGACGGTACGTGTTACATTAACAGTGCCGTTGCAATTGTTACCAGAAGAAGCTGAAGATGAGTCACTGCATGTGACTCCAGAGATTTGAGGGGTGGTCTTTGTTGCTTCACTAAACATCACAGTTACACTTTCATTCCGATGGGTATACCCCCCGAAACAAAGCATTCTGGGAGACTTTCCAGTGGAAGAGAAACGTGAGGCATGGGCCATATCAATACCAGCACCCACTTCATCATCATCATTAGAGAAGAGCAGCTCAGACAAACTAGGAGGATTGCCCTCAGCTACAAGATGGCTCCCCTCAAGAAAACTCTCACTCCCAGACATCTAAAACAAAGCCTAGAATCACGAAGAATACAGCGTGTAACAAATGGCGTTCTTTGTTTGTGTGAGTGTGGTGGTGTGGTCAGGACAGGGGTAGCAGCCGTTTCCTTAGAGTGAAGTGACCTCTGTGTTATGTAGTATGGGAGTGAAGTTTGTGGGGGCCTGGGATATTTCCAATACTGGCTTTGGGTTTCGGAGTGTTTCAGTCAACCACGCCTAGCCCGAGAAAACCGTGGTTTAGTCCTTCAAAGCATTCGGTTTGGTTAAAACCCTGTTAGCTTTCCTTCTTTCTTTCATTGCTTGGCTCGGACACCAGACTAATCACGACCATGCACCGACTGGTGCTGGTTAATACGAAACTGACTAGACTCGACGTGTTTTCACAAACTATTAAATTAAAGAATTTCTAATTTTTAAATAGTTTTTTCTTTAAAAAATATTAAATTTAATTTTTTTTATGATTTTAATGTGATAATGTTGAAAATAAAAAATAAATATAAAAAACTATTATTATTTAAAAAATTTTAATTAATATATTTTTTTATAAAGCATTTCATTACTAAGCACGTTTGTTCAGACGCTACCGCCCCACGCTCCTGTCAAAGGTAATTAGGCGTAGGTTTCTAGCTAATATATACTTTTATAAAGCATTTCTGGACCTGAATTTAGTGGTGCATTTAACGATTGTTTTTTAAAATATATTTTATATTAAAATAATTTTTTATTTTTAAAATTAATGTATCAAGAAAATTTAAAATATATAAAAAATTATTTTTAAAAAAAACACGATTTAAACCACATAATGCCTTTTAATATACAGTGGTGTTAGTTAATTAATGAATTTTACACAAGTTAAAGAGCAGTGGAATTATAGATTGAGTAGCAATCCTTAAAAACTGGTGAATTATTTAGCTCTTATAATCATGTCATAATTGAACATTGCTAGCTGGATATGATTTTTTTTAAATCTGATGGACCAGCATTACGTGTTACACTCGATTGATATGAGACTAGACACCTGTCCTTCATCCAAGCATTCGTCTTGTAAATAGTTTCTTACTACTTTATTGTCTTGTGATACACCTTTGATTAAAATTTACTCGACATCATAAAAAAAATATTCAGTTTGTAAATAATTATTTAGTATTGTTATTGAATATAATAATAAATCTTGAAAATTTCCAATTTAATTTTTTATCTAATATAAATTTAAATTAAATCATGTAAGAATTAACATGACTAAAAAAATAAATATTAATTTTTTTTATTTAACTTTCTATATAATATAAATTTAAAATCAAACTATATAAATGTTATATAAATGTTGTATAAATGTTAATTAAATTTAAAATCAAACTATATAAATGTTGTATAAATGTTAGTTTGATATGATTAATCAACTTAATTAATCAAGAAATAATTCATCTAATCACTAAAAAGAATTAAATAAAGGAATTGAGAAGATAAATGATAAAATTAAAAAAAAATCTTGAAATAATATATTATCTAGCTTTGATTTAAAAATAAATTTTGTAAAAATTATTTTAATATATCTCAGTCTTTTAGCTGGTTCAAAGATAAGCCGCCTGATAAATAAATAAAATTAAAAATATAAAATTAAAAAATTAAAGAAAAAACTACACAGAAATCTCTTATTTTAATTTTAATTTAAAAATAAATTATAAAAAAGTTATTTAAAGATAATCTATATATTTATTAAAAAAGTAAGGATGGTATTAAAAAAATAATAAAACTGAAAAAACAAAGTTGAAAAAAAGAGGAGTTTAGGTTAAAAACAAAAACGAGCCTTGTTGCGGTTGCCTTGAAGCGTTAAACCCCGTTGCGAATGTCAAAGCTTTGTTACTGACATCATCGTTGCAAATTATAATTCGAGATAAGTACGAGAAAAATAGTATTCATCAGTGAATAGTCTATTTTTATCCAGCAGTTTTTAAAAGAAAACTTTATATAATTATGTCAAAATAAAAATATACAGTATATGGAAGACAAGCGATTTAAACTTTGAAATGAAATTTATTTTATTATGAGAACTTTCATTCTCCTGTTGTTGTTTTTTTACAAATTCTTTTTTTTTATTAGCATCATGCTTTTTAAATGAAAAACCGAAATCCTTTGAAATAAATATCCATGAAAATCTCATTTATTAGAACAAAAAAGAATAAAAAAAATATACATCTCCAATTAAAACTCCATTTCCTCGTCTATTTATTTTTTTCCTAGAAAAATATATATTTTATTCTCATATAATACCCATGAGCATATTTTATAGATTTTGCATTTTAGATCATATATAATAAGTCACAGGGTAATTTTCAGTATCATTATACAAACTATAATCTTATCTGGAAACAATTAAAATAAAATATCATTTTAATAATTTTATTCATTGTGAATTTAAATTAAAAAAAGGAGAAATATAAAAGAAATCAGGCTAAGCTAGGAAAACAAAAATAAAAAAGTTCCCAGCTACTTTATAAAACTCGATTATTAATACAAACTCAATAACATAAAAGTCAATTATTTTCTTCACTAGAATGTAGGTGACCGAATATTTTTCCAATTTCCCTTGTTTTTAATGACCTTTGCTCTTTGCCATCGACATGCAATGGATCATGTGCAAGTTAAGTAAAATTTATGATATAAACACAAGATCTTTAAAAAATAAAAACCAAATGTATAAAAATTTAAATTCCAGGGATAAAACTATAGTTTTTTGTTTATTGAACAGTAAAAATGAAATGCCTTTTTAGTTGTTATTTCAATTTCTCTACAACAACGAATTTATTTTTTATTTTATCATATTGATGCTAGTACATCTAGAGATAATGATCATACAATAAAATAAAAATAAATTATAACGTATAAATCGATGCTAACACCAGGTGTAACGATGAAATAACACACGACTAAAGCTGTGGAGGCTAGAAAAATAAGCACCGTAAAAAATAAACAGTATCATTTAATCAGTTTTAATATTAATTTAAAAGAGTTTGATCGAAAGTATTTTGATCATCAAAATAAATAAATAAAAAACACCAATTAATTATTCAACTGCTGCGAATTGGAATCCAGGGAATGACTGAAAACAAAAACCTCCCGATGCCTTGTGAAGCAAAACCAGAAAAGAATTTTTTTTAATATTTAAAAACTTAGGAATGTATTAAAATAATATTTTTTTAAAAAAAAATATTTTTGAAACTAATCCATTAAAATAATTTAAAAACATAAAAAAATAAAAAATTTATTTAAAAATACTTTAAAAATATATCGGTTATAATTACAGGAGGAGATTATCTCTAAGCTCGTCTTTGAAAATCATCATATAGCATTGAATTTGAGCTACACTGCAGAGGCCAGGGGAAAAGGACGAGGATAACATTCGTGAGACTCCACTTAGAATGCCAGTAATATCTGGAGCTGATCGACCGTTGATGGGCGTGGGAGATTCTAAAGATAGGGCGCGTGGGGGTTAAACATTCAGCATTCATTACGTTGCAAAACTAACTCAAGATGGGCCCACGAGCTGTTTCTCAAGAAAGATCAGCCGCGCTGGAGAACCACAGATCGTACATTTCCATCTTGTCACGAGTAGTCCAGATCAGGGGCTACACAGATGACGATTTCAATTGTGATGGACAGCTATAAGATGAGGTACGTATTGAAGTCGCAACTCGCACGCACTCAGTTCATACATTGTTGTCCTGCCCCCCTTCCTTCCCTTTCCTTACGAGACCTTTTACCGCACAGGCACAATTTATTACATAGATACTGGGATTAAACTCATTCGCTAAGTGAAAAATTACAGTTTTATTGAAGGCTATACTGGGATTAAAATTTTATTAGCGATTGTTTTAAACAATTATCGTTGTAATTGGTATTTATATTAAACAATTGTTAAGTACAATAATGTTTTATTCACTACACAGATTTTAACACCAATAACTTAACCCTGAATTTTATACAAGACAAAATCTAAATCACAACAATCAAAATCAAAACAAAGTCATAAATTATTAAACTCATAACTAAATAATTTAACATAAATTTTATTTATTAATTATAATTATAAATTAATCCATGTTATTTTTAGACATCGCTTTTATTTGTTAATTACAAAGATAATTGATAATATCAATAACAAAATATAATAATATATATTTTTTTACTTGTAAATTGATGATTTAAAATTTTAAACAAGTTATTTACGATACCCACCTATTAATTAACAATTTTAAAATATACTTATCTGATATGAAAATATATAATATGTAAGATAATATTAAAATTAACATAATAATTAGCTAAAATAAAAATAATATAATAATAATAATAACTCCTAACTAAAAAAATATCACAACATAATAGCACATTCAAACCTATTTATTGCTCATACAACAAGTACATGATTCCATTTCATTAATAACATGAATTATTCGTGTGGTCTTATTATTTAAAACAATATTATTTGGATTCAGTGCCTCTCTTTACATGCTAAATGTAATAAAATATATCTTGAACAAAAAAGATGCATGGTAATAATCAAGACCATCATAATCAATTGTTGTATCAGGGGGGGGGCTGTGAATGAAAGCTTGAGCTGATGATATACAGCAAAAAAATAATAGAAAACCTCATTCGTGGAGATAAAATGAAGATGATTGTGATACTTTGGTGAGGCTAAGTGATTGAAGGCTGGTTTTGTTATGTCTTTTTTTTTTTTGTTATCAAGTTTCTTTTATGCAGGAGTGACGACCATTGATAATAGCAGAAGAATTGCAAACACACTGTAACCGTGATTTTAAAATCAAGGTTGTATTAAACCCATTGATTCTAAATTATAATTTATATTAAAAACATAATTTTTAACAGTGATTCATATTAAAAAGACGGTTTAAAATAGCAGTTTCCTTTATAAACATGATTATGAACAACGATTTTGTCGAGCTTTACTATTTCTCCTTAACCTTTTCAATTATATGATTGATTCCCTTAAAATTTTCGTGTGGCTGTGTTATTTTTCAAAGAAAGGATGCCTCCTGCTCTTTTTATTTTTTTATTTGTTTAATTATCACATCGTGTTTTTACTTTGTTATTTGCATGTTGGTATGTGTCACGGGGTAATTTTTCGCTATGCGAATAAACCCGTAAGGCAGCCTAGTCCCTCACTAGACTCAGTCTTCCCTTGTCTATCCACTCATGTTTGTCTATTAACTAAGTGTTTCCCTCACCTAAGAGGTTTCCCCACTTTCTCATGTTAAAAGACAAGCAGAATACATAAGTAGAATTGTTCTTCACCGAGCACACCAAAAATACAAGAATACCTCTCAACCTTTATTTATCTCATCAACAAAGGATTACACAACGTATGCTATGCACAGAATTCGCATGCTATACCATCAAGTTTACATACGTTATTTCCTCTCTATGCATTCTATTCTCTATGTATTCTCTCTATACAACAAAGAGTTACAATCACTATATATAGCCAAATATGTGAGCTGCAGGGCACTCCTATGATCCCCGTATTTCAGGACATAGTGGGGCACTTGCTCTTCCATGATCTCCATGATTTTTAGTGGCTCACCCATATCCTTATTTCCAGGATATAATGGAGAACTTTCTCCCCCATGTTCTCCATGATTTCAGCAGCTTGGAAACACCCTAGTTATGCTCCCACTTTCTGCATGCTTGTTTGGCAGCCCCATTTGCCAACTCTTGCTTCATCTACTGCTGAATCACTCACATGTCATGGACAGTCCTTTGTCCAAGTTTTAGATCTTGCCAAGTCAAGCCCATTACTTGTGCAAGTTGTTGCGCGCTGTCGAGAGCGCACTTGGGTGTAGGCTGTCGAATCCTACGATGTCGAATCTGCATCTGCGTGCAGGTCCCTAATGTCTGCGCTGCCAAATTCGCATCTGCGTGCATGCTGTCCAATCTTACGCTGCCGAATTCGCCTCTGCGTGCAGGCCGCCAATGTCTGCGCTGCCGAATTTGCATCTGCGTGCAAGTTGCCCATCTGTGTGCAGGATGCCAATTCCTGCGTTGCTGAATTCCCATCTGCGCACAAGCTCCTAGTGTCTGCGCTGCTGAATTCCCATATGCGCGCAGGCTCCTAGTGTCTACACTGCCGAATTCCTTGACAGCCCCAATTCTCGTCAGCCTATGCTCTTGACAAGTTTTCCCGTTTTGGCTTGGACATTCCATCGTCAAGCCCATGCTCATCAACATCTACGCTACCGCATTTCTCGACAGCCCCAGTTCTCGCCAGCCTATGCCCTTGACAAGTTTCCTTGTCTGGCTTGGACATTCCATCGTCAAGCCTATATTCCTCAACAATTTGTGCTGCCGCATTTCTCGACAGCTCTAGTTCTCACCAGTCTATGCCCCAAATGAGTTTCCTTGTTTGGCTTGGACATTCCATTGCCAAGTTCATATTTGTCAACATCCTGCGCTACTGTATTTCTTAACAGCCCCGATTCTCATAAGCCTATGCCTCTGATGAGCTTTTCAGTCTGGCTTGGACATTTCATTGCCCAGCCTAACATTCTGCACTACTAATTTTTCATTTAACAAACTTATAGCTGTATAAATATGCACTACTTGATTTATCTCATTATTAGCATTGCTAGCAGTATCTTCAGGCCTGGTTTTGGATAGCATGCCTAGGTGCGCACCCCGTGCCACATTCAACATTATAACAATATGGATGTAAACGCCTTGAAATTTATTTCTTTGAAAGGAAAGTGAAACAAAAAAATGGCATTAAAATAATTTTTTTAAATTCAGGTATCTAGTGTAAAATTTAACCTCTCAATTATAATTATATATATATATATATATTCATTTATTTTCACCCTGTCTTTTTTCGTTTCTCGCACCCAGATAATTTTATATTTTTCTTCTCCAATCACTATTAATATCTTAACTATTTCTTTTTATTTTCAATTCCATTGATCATGGATTGAGAAACTCCAATATGTAGAATTTTGCATATGGCATGATACACCTTTTCTTCTTCTAAATAAAGTCGGGTCGGACCGAAGATCTCTTAAACCTTGAATTTCAAATAGTTTATTTACTTATTTATTCTAATTGCTTCTACGTTTTTTAAATGAATAATGGGAAGCTATATATATATATATATATATCTTTTAAAATTATACTTACAAGGAACAGCTATAATGTAAAATTATTTTCCTTTATCATGATTTAAAATATTATTATTATTATTTATAAAAATAAATTTAATTATCATATAATTAAATAAAAAATTTAAATAATCCCTCACAATGCAATATTATATATTCTAACCATACATATCTCTCAATTTTCTAACCTAATATTTGATTAACTTAACATTTTTTTTAATATTTATTACCCTATCTATTTATTCAATTACATACACAAAGTTTTCGATCCATAATTAATTTTTTTAGTACTGAAAAATTATGTTGAAAATGCATGCCATTTTTTTAATTAAAAAACTCAATCGATTAACAAATAAGTAAACATACTAAAACAATTGTAATAGCCGTGGCGATTGATAAAGTAACAAGTTTTTAATAAAAACAACGATGGAGCAGTTATAGCTTGTTTGATATTGTTACGCGTCTTGCAGCAGACAGCACGTGAAAAATCCAACCGTGGCCCACTAGTCAAGTATACGGCCGCTGCTGGTACAGTTTCCACTCTCCTGAGCTGCTGATAGCTGGCAACTACGAAACAGCAGACACATGGAGGGCACGTGGCAATTATGTCTACCGAGAGAGACACTTGGAAACAGACCTGGCTATAAACTAGAGCTTCGAGGAGTCTGACAGTCAATCCCTTCCCGACATTTCCTTCATTGCATGACGCGCCTTTCCACACCTCGCTGGTCGCTTGCCCTCGTCAGTGCACCTGGTCTCCATGTTTAGTTACATGGTTCGATATTTAGTTATTTCTGGCATTGATATTTTTTAAATTGATTTGATATATATTGATATTTAAAATATATGTTTTTTTTACAAATATTTTTAATATATTTTTAAATAAAAAACAACTTAAAATTTTAACCGAGAGGGCAAGGTTGCTCCGTCAAATGGTTGTGGAGCCATAGTTAATTTACTTAACTTCTCCCGAGAAGAAAAGCATCACCATTTTGGTTTCGAAGGTTGGAAATTTCATGTCGAGTTTTTAGAGGGGTTCTCAATAATAAAAAACCCGCAAGGATCATTGCACGTGATTATAATAAATCCAGTTTGTGAATTTCTAAAACATGCACGCAGTTTAGTTCCTAACAAACAAATTGAGCTACCATGATCTGACTAACAAATCCTATGGACATGGTCGATATTGAACAAGAATAATTGTGTTACTATCGTGTGGTGTCGAAGAGTAGAGAGGAAGGATTATTAAGGAAATGACAAATTAACCTTCGAGTAATACAATTGAAAGGTTAAAATATATCCTCGGACAGAAAGGGGGCAAAAACTAACTAGTAATCCATGAAATGCAGATGAGAATTAACGTCAGTTTAAGGTATAATCAGTCACTTCATGTAAGCAGCCTATTTGTAACCATTTCATAAAAGCATGCAAGCTGTTGTTTTACCAGGGAGAATGCAAATGGACGATACTTCTTCTGCAACACAACACATATGGAAGAAAGAAAACCACAGAACTATCGTAACTCACTTGATCAAAATGAGATACTTCATTCAATCGACTACTGTTATTAATGTAATCGTACTCAACCCGTCGGCAAACATAAATATCTAAACAATGTAGAAATATGCGAAAAATCCAACCACATTAAAAGCTGAGCAGAAACAAGTCATAAACCCTCACATTTCGAAAACAAAAGAGTTCGTGCCTGCCATTGGGGTATAAAGACAAACACCTGGCAGGCACACCCATAGTTCCCTTTTCTAGCCGCAACAAATCTCCTTCAGTTTATTAGCAACCGATTCATCAACCGAATACTGCAATCGTAATGCACCTCCGTAAATAAAAACTCTTTAAAACAATTCACAAGAAACATTAATAGACAAGCACTAAAGGCATATGAAAAAGGAACCTTGTTGAGAACCCATAGGGAGTGGTTATAAGCTCTAAGGAAGAGCTCGTCGAGGAATTGGGTGTCATTGGCCTCGACATCTCTGTAGTTGACGAAGTTTTCGCGTGCGTATTTGGCGTAATAAGGCCTCGAGTCCTTTGGTAACCGCCTCACTAGTCGCAGAACCTGCCCATATACTCCCAACGCTTTCTGCATTTCTCTTCGAACCGTTGACTGGAGCTCCCGCTCTTGAGATGCCGCTTCGCTGCTAAATGTCGCTAGAAGTCGAGGCCTATGTATGCCATTAATGGGCTTACCCAAATAGTTTTGGTCTTATATTGGGGAGATGGACTTTAGGTCCAAAAATAAGTCTTGGGCTCTTGTGTTTAGATGGCCCTAGAATGTTTTCATTAACAGTGTTTTTGGGTAAAACGACCTGTCGTTGGACTCGCAAAGAAATAGATGCAGGATTTGTGAGAACTAACCACGACCAGTAATTCGTATTCTCAATTAATTTTATATAATGTTCTTCAACATTGGAGCAAATGTTTCAGTAGATAATGCTCAGAAGCTCCGTTACTTTGGCTTCACTTCCTTCACATTTATCATAGACGTGAGTGCTAGCTATGGCTTGACGACGTGTAGATGCTGCTAGCAAGCTTCCTAATATCCGTCGTCCGCTAGCTTTCCTAAAACAAAAGGTAGAATGGTAATCCGCGAAGGTATATATTTTTTTAAAATATAATAAAATACGTTCATGTGCTGGAGAGGTACTGTAAGAGAAAATTGCGACATAGTTTATACACCTGATTAGATAAATAAGCCAATTTCATTAATTTCATTAATTATATGATAATAATAGTTAACAGACTGGATAGAAAGATAAAAAAAACTATGAGTACCTTGAAAAAGCTTGTCTAAAGAAAAGAAAAAAAACTGAGAAACTTAATTCTTAGCTATGCTAATATTAAACGAAAAAACTTAAAAACTAAATAAAAAAATAATGAATCAATTTAAATTAGCATATTAAATCTGCATGTTATGTCATAAAGTTGGGATAACTGAAAAAAATTGATAACCTAAAAAAACACTAGCAAAGCTGAGCAAGTCCACCGAAACCTTTGACATGGATTATGTAAACATGATAATGAAAAGTAAAATAAAAAATAATTAGAAATCTCAATTCTCAACTCAATCCAACGTTGAAGGACAAAACTAGAAAATTATCAAAAAAAAATTAAATAGACCAAAAAACTTGAGTTAACTCGAGTTAACTCGTCAAACATGTGATTTAAATTATTTGACTGAGATAACCATATAAAAAGAAAATCTAAGAAAATAATGAAGCCAGACTTCCAACAAACTCATTATTAAATAACAAAATTAAAAAAAATTCTAAAATAAGGACTTGAAAAAAAATCAATATCAACTCGGATTAACCTTCTAAATTTGAAAAAAAAATCAATATCAACTCGGGTTAACCTTTCAAACTCATGATTTAAATCATGAGAACAAGAAGATACTATTAAAAAAAAAATTATGAAACTTAATTTTTAATCAATTAAATATTAAAAAATAAAATTAATAAATTTTTTTTTAAAGAAGAATCTAAAACAAAAATAGCATTCAAGAGAATGAGAAGTAAATGATGCATAAAAACAAAACAATAGAACATATTTAATTTTTGACAAATTAATGCAAATCCTAAAAAAAGGAAAGAGAAAAGCATGAGAAGAAAAAAGAAAAGATCGTTGGAATTTCATTGCCACTCATTTGTTGATATACATAACACCATATAAAAAAACCTTACCACAAAGCTCCCAATAAAATTATAAACTATGTTGTTAAGCTATTAAATGAGAACAAGAAGATACTATTAAAAAAAATTATGAAACTTAATTTCTAATCAATTAAATATTAAAAAATAAAAATTAATAAAAAAATTTTTTTAAAGAAGAATCTAAAACCAAAATAGCATTCAAGAGAATGAGAAGTAAATGATGCATAAAAACAAAACAATAGAACATATTTAATTTTTGACAAATTAATGCAAATCCTAAAAAAAGGAAAGAGAAAAGCATGAGAAGAAAAAAGAAAAGATCGTTGGAATTTCATTGCCACTCATTTATTGATACACATAACACCATATAAAAAAACCTTATCACAAAGCTCCCAATAAAATTATAGACTATGTTGTTAAGCTATTAGAGAAAGCTATAAACATCATTAAAGAGTGGTGATTTCATCATGTCGCTCGTGTTACACACATTAGCAAAATTATCTTGTCTTTTTTTTTTAGTATCTATAAAACTTAATTTCTTGAAACTTAATTGTTTTAGATCATTAAAATTAAATTTTATATTTTAAAATTGAGTATCAAATACGTGTTAAAATCCTTTTTTGACATCATGGGATCCCATATTTACACAGTGAAGAAAAAACTCTTAAGTCTAATTAAAAAAACTAATCAAATTAAAAATAATAATAATTAAGGAACAAAAAGGAAGTTGGATCTCTTCCATATACTATGATGTCAACGAGATAAAAAGGCTCAAGGCTTCTAGTGTCCAAATGTGGTCTCTCCATCAATATAATTATTTTATTTTTATTCAATTTAATGTCATTTAATATTTTTAAATCTAGCATCAACCAGATTTGGTTTTATTTATCGACATTGTGAGTAGCATATACCAAGTTAAACAAAACAAATAACCATCTTCAATTCCAAATTAATTTATTGTAATATGATCGAATAAAAATAAATTGAGTGACACAAAAAACTAGAAAAAGGAAATATTGACCGTATCCGCAGTATAGAATATCACTAAGCTCTTTTATTTTTTTTTATATAATATATAATTATAATTATAATTTAGGTAGTTAACATTAGGGCAACATAGATGTCCAACTAGTGTAAACACACCAATGCTAGAACTGTGTCCAACTAGTGTAAACACACCAATGCTCTAGGCTTCTGCTTTCTGACGACGTACTAACCGAGCATTTGTTCTTAGCTAGCAAGGCACCAGGGCCGCCATTTTTTTTCCTTTTCATGAACGTATCTGTAGTTTAGTACTGATCTTCCGTTCTCTTCCGTTCCCAAACGGGCTGAACTTTGCTGGACTCACCTTCAACTGCTTAATTCAAATTCTGGCGGATAATTTTTCAGAAATTCTCAGTGGACCATTTATAGAAGACACGCGTTTCTTGATAAATCCAAGGCATTTTTTCTTTAGTTTCTGTGACTCAGAACTCACCATGCAAGCTATCCACGCCTGTGTATACGTGTAAGGCGACTCATCAAGAAAACGTTAAATTTCCACATCGTCGTCGACCTGCAGGGACCTCTGGCCATTCAAGCACTTATCAACATCCCCGGACGAGATAAATAGAAGAAAAGTACAAGAAAGAAAATATTATGCATTTAATGCAATCTCAAACCAAACACCTTACAAAACCGCGAGAACCACCAGCTCTCATGCGTGGTTTCTGTTAACTCCAAGTTGGCATGCCCACTATCACTCGTTTTCTCTTTAAAATCTTATGTAAACCTTCATTACTAATCAACTCATCTCCAGAGTTGCCTATCTTCCAAACAGTCATAGACAAACAAAAGCAGCCAAACCCAAGACATCAGCCAAGATGATGGACATTTGGTCATGGATATGTGAGATACCTAACTCGGACGAGTGGAACGAGTCAGACTCAGCACTCATATTTGAGCTAGCGAGTTCGAAATCGAGTCAGGACGGGCCAACTCGAGCTATTCAACTCAAAGCTGAGAGAACTGCCGGGTCAAACTCGGAAGCCTTGGTGACTTTCACTATATGTTTACAGGGGTTTCATCCTTTTGATGTTCCAAAGACTCTCTGGGTCTCTGACACCTGCCCTCTCAACTCTGAAAAACCCTTCCTCCCTCTTGTACTCCAACTCCTCCAAGAAATCATAGTCCGTTCACCCACGGCGCCCAATAGCACTTGCCCACGTTCCCAACTACAAAAGCTAAAACCTGACCCAGTATCTTGGATTATGGACTCTCACACACCCGAGTCCTTTTCAAGTTTCTTCAGTTTAGTTTTTATCACGCGCTTGTTTTGGTTGTGTGCATTTGACGCTCCCACCGAAGCTGGGTCTCTGTGCTTTGAGTCCGTATTGGGTCCTCACCTGGAAACATTATCGTGTAAACAAGCACCTGTGCTGCGAACCTTTTTACTCACAGTGGGGGTAGATGCTGAGCTATGTTTTATGCGCGCAATGGGTTACATGATGGCAAAATGGCTCCTCTTAAGAGAAGTAGGAGTTGGGTTACAAACATTAGCACCCCTGGCAAGTCAGCAAGTTGGGTTGTTATCTTATGCAACGGAGGCTTATGGGTTATGGGTCTTAAAGGGCTACGCTCCAATTTTAGCAATGAATCCTACTTGCCCTAGAAACAATAAATTTTGTATCCTTGGAGCTAAGGATACTGTGTTGAAATATGCCTTGGCACATCACCAGTTGGAGGCAGTTATCCAGTTGGAATATGCAGTCAGATTCTATGATGGGTATATTCAGGTCATTGCACGTGTCAACAATTTACGTTTCCACGTGGTGAGATTAGGGTTTAAGAAAAATGAAGGTGTGGATAATGATGACGACAGGCATTTTGTGTCACGGGCTCGAGTCTGGGTTGGGCCAGAAATTGGAGCGACTTATGTGGGTGGATTGTGTTTGGGCCGGTCCACATATAACGGGGAGAAGGAGGTGGAGATTCAAAGGATTTTGAAAGGTAGTCATGGTGAAGCAAAGGTCCCGCAGGTGAAGACGAGATCAGGTATGGCAACAAAGACAAGGATGAAAAGCTGGAGGTGTGACCAAGATGTTGAAGGGAATGCTGTTGTTTTTGATGCTGTCTTATATGACAACATGATGGGTCAAGAAGTTGCCGCACGGAAACCAATTGGTGATGGTAACGGTGTTGGTGTTGGTGTTGGTGGCAGGAATGGCAAAAGCTTTGGTACTAGATGCAATGGACCAAACAGACCATTTACAAAAACAGGAGGGGTGGTTTTTGCAGGAGACGAGTATGGGGAGGGAGTAGAGTGGAGACTGAGCAAGGAAACGGAAGGCAGTGTCTTGAAGTGGAGGATAGGAGGGCAGGTCTGGGTGAGTTATTGCCCTAGCGAGGTGAAGAGTTCACATTTTGAGACGAGGAGTGTAGAATGGTGCGATGAGGTTGATTTGCCCATAATTCCTGCTAAAGAGACCGAGCTTTAATTACTCCGAAAGCGACTTCGAGTATCTTGTAAATTTGTAGAAAGGGGTTTGCGTAAAGCAAATGCTGTAATATACAGTGTATTGTTGCATGCTGTACCTTTCCTCCATGGAATGTCTGCATGTCTAATTAACTCTACAGCAATATTGTAACCCGTGGGACAGAGGACGTCCTTCATAGATTAATAAGAATAATAAAATGTTATTTTTTTAAATTTATTTTTAATATCAATATATCAAAATAATTTAAAAATATAAAAAATTAAAACTTTTAAAAATATAATTTGCACTCCATTACCAGCACATACTCTTCCTTTTCTTCCTAGCATTTATCAAATTCATGCACTGAATCACCTTACGATATCATCAAAGGTTTAGAATATACTTGGAAGTATATATTTAAAAATATATTAAAATATTTTTTTTATTTTTTAAAAATTATTTTTGATTTCAGTACAAAAAATAAAAAAATTTAATTTTTTAAAAATGCTTTTAATATACAAAATTAGACAAAATCTTAAAATTATATCATCAACTTAATATAATTGATGTTAAATCCAATCTCACTATGATGATCCAAAACTTAATCAAGCTAGATTTGTAATTAGTTCACCGGTTAGGTTGTTGACACGTGTACAAATATAAAATTAATTTCAAAATTTGAAAATTAAATTTCATCTCAAAAAAATAATAATATATTTTTGCCAACATAATGCATGAAAACATTGAAACCAAATTGCATATAATAATTTATTGAAAAATAAGTATCAGAATTGTGAAGAAACCGAGCTGCTTATTATGATTCAATATTCATTTTACTACTGCTTGCAATGCATTTCTTCGAGCTAAATTGATGTCTAGCTCGCTTTTCAATAACTAGTTATAATACGAATATGCATCAATATCATTTTTTATTAGAATCTTGCAAATTCAGTTAATAATCTAAAATACTAAAAAAAATTAATTTAAAATAAAAAAATAAAAAATATATAATTTTTTAAAAATAATTTTAAAATACAAAATTAGACAAAATCTTAAAATTATATCATCAACTTAATATAATTGATGTTAAATCCAATCTCACATGATTCAAAACTTAATCAAGCTAGATTTGTAATTAGTTCACCGGTTAGGTTGTTGACACGTGTACAAATATAAAATTAATTTCAAAATTTGAAAATTAAATTTCATCTCAAAAAAATAATAATATATTTTTGCCAACATAATGCATGAAAACATTGAAACCAAATTGCATATAATAATTTATTGAAAAATAAGTATCAGAATTGTGAAGAAACCGAGCTGCTTATTATGATTCAATATTCATTTTACTACTGCTTGCAATGCATTTCTTCGAGCTAAATTGATGTCTAGCTCGCTTTTCAATAACTAGTTATAATACGAATATGCATCAATATCATTTTTTATTAGAATCTTGCAAATTCAATTAATAATTTTTTTTGAAAATCTTATTTTTTAATCAAATTATGATTTTTGAGAATTGTTTAATTATTGAAATGAAATCATATCAATGTAAATTTAAAAATATTTTTATGAATATTAAATTTTTTTGATTGAGAATTCAAAATAAGTTATTCGATGATAATATAAAGATGTCTTGTTGAGCTGATTCGGATTGCTAGAAAGAATGATTCGTTCTAAATTAATTGGGCAAGTAATTTTCTTTCTAAAAGGATGATTATTTTTAAAAAGAAAATGTTTCATTTCAAGGTAGGTTTTTGGCTTTGATAAAGGAAAGCAAATAATTACTTCATGTTGATGAGTGTGTTTGTTTATTAATTCAGCAAGGAATGTGAATGTATATTATTTATTTACTTTTTTTTAAGACATAGTTGGCTATAAACAAAAAAGAAATATTATAAAATATAAAATATAGACTAAGATTCATGTGTGTGTGTGTATATGAAAAATATAAGATACGGGACTTAAATATATATAATCACTCATTCAATGTGGAGAATTTTTTTAGCTGCCTTAATTTTATTATTTTAATGATTAATCTCATTTTAATTTTAATTATCCTAATTATATTTGGTGCTTTGTTGTTTATATTTTAATGATTGATATTATTTTAATCTCAATTATCTTAACTATTTTTTTGGCTTCATTTTAAGCAGTCTTTGAAATTCCGATATGGGTTTGCACGGTTTGTTTTGTTTTGAAAAGGCCGGTGAAATTGCAACTTGTGGTTGTTTCATTTTAGTCCTTTTAGTATTCGAGTTTGTGTCAATTAGGTCCCTCGTGGTAGGGAGCATAATATAGGTTTTCATGGGCCATGAAAGTCTCGTTTTCGAAGACTAGCCCATCTGATGCAAAGGTCTTGGGCTCTTTTTTACGTTGCCTAGTGGTGGCAATGGGGGAAGTGGCCCAACTCCCTTTGATATTTCCCAATTCTGTTCTCACATGCGATTTCGCAGAAATTTCATGCAACCCGTTCACGTGTATGACATGACGCCTTCCCTCGGTTACTGGAGCATCTGGTTCCTCTACTCTTAAGTTTATTTTACTTTGGTACCCTTACTATGTTTATTCTAATAGTGTCCTTTTAATGTTGATTCTATTCTAATAAAGAGCTGTCTGGGACTCAACCAAAATGAAACAGATTGTAGCTGTCTTAATTCCATTCTCTACTTTTTATCACCTAACAAGAGTCTATTTAGCTTGGTTTTTGCATTGTAAATAAAAATGAGATTCTTTAAAAAAAAAAAAACATGAAGAAAACAAATAGATCAAGAAAGTGTTCTGTTGCTAAATGATATCAAAAAGCATGTATTATGTATGTAATTTTAAATTAAAAATTAAATACAAAGAATTGTATCAACAAGTATAGAAACAACATGATTATCCTAGTTTATAAATAAAAACAATATTTGAGTTACAATATATATTCTTAACCTTAGTATTGCATAAAATTATAAAAAACTAAAAAAGTTACGAGAAAGTATGTAAAAATGGTATTATTCTCGAATTAGTATATGCATTAACTAGGTACAGAACAAATCTTTAACACTAGCCTCTTACATAAAGAGAAATTTAATATATTTATATGAATAATTGAATTAAAAAATAATAAAAACGAGCAAATTTCTTTAACCATCAAGTTAACCCCTGAAGAAATTAATTAATTTTGGTAACTAAGCATCATGGAAAAAAACCATAGACAAATCACCAGATGAGCTTAATAGGCTCTCATTTAATGTAATAGGAAGTTGAAAATTACATTAGGACCAAAAAAATTATAGTAGAAGGACCAAATTAAGACAACGAGGAAGTTGGGATCAAATACACCATTAAGCATTAACCCTGACCATGCCTGATGCTACTTTTCTCTCATGTTAATTGTTTCTCCCATGCATCCTCCCGTCAGTCACTCTAATTTCTTCACCCTAACTTAATCCTCCAGTTTTCTCACTGAGCTTACCGCCTTACCCACTCTATCTCTGTCAATTTCCTCTCCCCTGTGACTATCCACTTCTCCCAGGTCAGACATTTCAGTGTTTTCGATGATTCAAATTTACGGTTTCATCTCATTCAGCAATCTTTCGTCTTCCTGCTACGTTCTTATAAACTTTCTTGCATTTTTCGGTTTTTGTACTTAAGTTTTATTTCCGCTGTGTTTTCACTACTGTCTTCCAGTGAAATCACCACATACGACTGGATAGTGTGAACTGTAATGAAAATATTCTAGTATTAATTTGACGAGAATGTTGAGCTTTAAATTTGATTAAATGAGATAGCCTTACTAAATAAATGGAATTGATACAAATAAAACAACTGGGGCCTCTTTAGTTTCCTCCTTTTGTTTGCATTTGTGGTTTATTTTGTTCTTTAATGTGTGCGTTCCGAATTTATAATACCTGATCGTGTACATTGTTGAGTGGCTTATTTGTTCCGAATTTATCTAGAATGATCTGGACATTGAATCAGATTGACATGGTTATTGAGGTTGTCATGTGTTCGGTTTTTACCCGCATAAGGTGGGGTTCCTCGCATTAAAAGCAGCAAAACAAAAAAAGAAGAAGAAGGAACAAACTTCATTTTTAGCTTGTGTTTGGGTAGAAGTGTTAAGTAGAGCAATCGTGGCAATCTAATGGTGTGGGTGTGTGTGTGTTGGGGGGGGGGGGGGGGTGTTGTGTGGTTATTTAAAACATAGATTTACCATGGACCCTGGTGATGATGAGCGGTGAAGGACTGTGTAATGGGGTTTTGGGAGTTCAATTCTCAGGTTTGAATCTCCTACTCCCTAGGTAAGGAATGTTTGTTACTTCACTTGATTTAATCCATTCCATTGGAGGTAACATTACTGCATTTTCCGGACTGACTTTAAAGCTAAAACAATGATTTCTGAGCGTGCTCACATCTCTCTTTGTGATTTGTGACTCTGCGATTTCTTCTGCTTAAGGGAAAAGATTGATGTCTTTGCAAAGCTTTGACTACCCTGTATCATATTAGATTCTGGAATTTGCGTTCAGAAATGTTTCATATTATGAAAATTTAAGGTTTAGGTTGAAAGTCTTGTTGCCAATTATTATGTACTTTAGCATCATTCTCAACCCCCCCCCCCCCCCCCCCCCCCCCCCCCCCCCCCCCCCCCCCCCCCCCCCCCCCCCCCCCCCCCCCCCCCCCCCCCCAAAAAAAAAAAAAAAAAACGCAGATGGAATGGTCCTTCCTGATGGATAAATTGGGTTCTATGTAGAGTATAATTGTAAGACGCTCACAAATAGAGCATGATTGGTGAATCTATTCTCTGTCCTTATTTCATGTATTTGGTATACTAAGTGATACTGCGGGCTGTCCTTTCCTAAAAGCATGCTTGCAAGAACAGTTACTGGATTGATGTCATAACAAAACTAATTTTTGGTGCTAACAGGTTTCATATTTACATTATGAGCAGCCTCGAGGATTCAACAATGAGTCACCCTGAGGGTTCTGGAACGAGTGATTCTGATACGAGTGGTTCTGAAGATTTCGAGTTGAGTACCCCGGAAGATTTTGAGTCCAGTGCCCCTGAAGATGCTTGCCTGGAATGCTATTGTGGACATCTCGCAAAACTGCGAGTATCAAAATCTATCAAGAATCCATCTCGGTT